CACACACACTTATAGAGCGTCGCAAGTTGTCTGTGTGTGTGTGTGTGTGTGAGCGCTGGTCTGTAACTGCTTTCTTTGCCCCAGACTGTGACGACAGTGAAGATTTGCCCCCGCCTGTTCCTGAGCGAACCGCTGAGTCCTTCCTAATGGCCACAGGTGCGTCTTTACTGTGTCCAGCCACACGAGGGCAGCAGAGGCTCTGAGACAGAAGCACATCACGTCACTTCCTGCTTCTGTAAAGAAGTCTGATCTTGTTCCACTGAATTCAGACAATGAAGATTTACTTTTATCTGGTTGCTCTTGGTGAAAATCAGTTTAATGACACACACACACACCGTGAATCTCAGCCCTCTGTTACGTCTCGCAGCGACTGACATGGTCGTTATGAAATATAAATGACAAAAAGTGGTTTTGACGGAATGCTTTTCAATAATTATGCAGATAAATGCTTGTTGGTAGCTGGTGTGTGTGTGTGTGTGTGTGTGTGTGTGTGTGTTGATTTTGTGAGTTTGAAGTGAGTTGATCACTGATGGTTTATTAAGGGTTCAGTTATTAAACTCTTGTTTTATTAGTGAGGTAATAGCGTCTAAGCTTCTCGTTCTCATGTCTGTCTGAACTTCCTGTAACGTTTCTCTCGTGTTCATTCAGAGCCCGCAGATGTGAAGCCGCCGCCGGCCGAAGCGTCTTCACAGGTGAGACGAGTCTGTTTCTGCTGTAACTGACTGAGAACGAGTGATTTCACGTCTGTCTCTTCTCTTCACAGGCGTCTGCAGACACACAAGCTCCTGCTAGTCCTCCAAAGACCGGTACGTCACACTTAAACCAGATTAAACCACACCATATTATCAGGGTTTATTAATGTTTTCTAATTTTTGGCCAATGAATCTCACTCAGAATATGAGTGTACGTAGGCGAGAGAGACACTTCCTGTTGATCAGCACTTCCTGCAGACTTTTATTTTCACTGAATCCATAAAACTTTCTCTCGGTGTCTCGCTTTCCCCCGTCATCTCATCTGACATGAGTTTGTGCAGCTCTAGAAACCCGCGTTAGGTGCGTTATTTACAATATTATCATGTGTGTGTAGCATTAACATAACAGCACTTAATTTTTTTTTAAATATCACAGTTAATGTCAGTTCGGCTTTATTGTGACTCATTTAAGTCTCACGTTCACAGACGGCGCCGGCTGTTCAGTTAATTCTTTACTGTTTACACAAAGATATGATTTTTATCATTAGAATGAATATATTATTATTATTATTATTACACAAAAATAATATCTTAATTCACTTGCAGCATTGCAATGCATTGTGGTTAAACCCTCAGCTTTATTTGAATGTTAATGTGCTTTTGTTTCTGGTAAAAATCTCCAGCTGTATCTCGGCTCAAAGATCAGCCGGCTGACGCTGATGTGACTTCTCCCATAAAGTGATGAAATAAAAGCCTGATGACAAAGGCGTGCATTTGTTTAACTGTGTTGGCGGTTTTGTTTTGCTTTCTAGATGCTGAACAGAAGAACGGAAAGGGTCCGGATTTGCCTCTGAGCGTCCCGAAGGACAGGAGAGCCGAGACGGAGATCGGTGAGTGACGAGAGCAGAGGAGCAGATGAAAGCTTTTCCTTTATGATCTGTGAGTTTCTCTCTGTGTCTCTGTGCTGCAGGATTCAGCAGCCGCTGCTCGCATCCCAAAGGCCCCCGGGAGCCTCCGTCGGAGTGGACGTGACCGCGGCACCCATCCGCTGCACACTCCACGCTCCTCTCTCTTCTCTGTAGACGGACGGTCCAAGACTCTGCGCCCTCTTCTCTGACTAACACAATCAGTAAAGCTACAAAGATAATCTCCCATGATGCACCTGTGCAGCCGCTGCTGTAGTGCTGCTCGCTGTGCTGGTGCTAAATGTCTCGCCGGGACCAGGACCTGCCTTACTCCTCCTGGACCTGTTTGTTACTCACGCATCTTCTGCAGTAGTTTATCCTCGGATCAGACGGACCAGGGCCGAGGAGCTGCTGCCTCATTAACGGTGTCTCATGCGTGTTCAGGGCGAGCCGTGAATAATGATGCAAACGTACTATCACTGAATATATTAATGCGATGTAAGACGTCTGTGCATGAAAGCGTCACGTGTACCTCAAACTGTAAGTTATTTGCCCTCCTGTTAGAACAAACCTTTTCAGTGTTGTGTTTCCTTTTCTCGCCGTTTCTTTGCGTTGGTCAGGCCGGCGCGTACCGGCCGCTTCACGAGACGCTGGAGATTGTGATGATGCTTTTTGTAAATTGTATTCTAGAGGTTATTTTTGTATGTCATTTTCTCACCTCACGAACAACACCCTGACAGCTCGCCCGTGCCTTTTTTTTTGTTTTTCATTTTACTGTGTGTTTGAGACGCAGAGAGAGAATGTGTGCGAGCTGCACAAAGTCGCATTTAAACCTCTGGGATTTTACTCGACCTTCCAACACAGACCTGTCAATCAATCAATCAACATGTCAGTAAAACATTAGGAGGAAGATGTCTCCTGCTGCTTTATTCTCAGTACATGCTGTGTGTGTGTGTGTGTGTGTGTGTGTGTGTGTGTGAGAGAGTGTGTGTGAGAGTGTGTGTGTGT